AAAATTTGGCCTCACTCTTATAAGCAGAAATAGGGCAGGGAGAGTAATGAAATGGGATAGAGAGATAAAATTGGATTGTTAGTTCAGTTTAGGCATCTGTTTGGGTTAATGGCTCAGTTTTGAGTGTTTGAGCATAAACCACTCAAGTTTGTAGGGTGTTGCAGAAGTGAGTTCTTGGGAATGATGTAGATGTTTAACTATTCAAAGTATAAGGGTCAGCATAGGAAGAGCAGAGAAGTCAAAGGCAGTTGGAGGTGGGCAAGGCAAAAGGGGACATGAAAGGATAGGTCGGTGACATAGGTGCGAGTTGCATGATGTGAGGACAAGAAGTTTTAAATTTGCTGCACACAAATGGAGCTGTTGTGATCTATCATGTGGATGTTCCATAAAGAATAGAAATGATTTGCACACTGCTACTGAGATTTTTTTAAAACCAGTAAGACAAGGAAAAATTGTTCATATCTATGTTCTCATGTCCCAGACTATGCATATGTTACATAATGTTGAATTACTGGCAGTTACAAGATAAAGTCCTCACGAGCAGAAATTGGAAGGTTCCCCATCCCCTACAGAGGATGATAGCAGATACCAGAGACGATGGAAAAATAATATACATTGAGCTGGGCACAAAAAAGAAAGATGTTATTTGCACCCCTTTCCTGGGCTTTTTCTGGAAGATTGACAGGCATAATATCTAGAGAAAGAAAATGTTTAAAACAAGCTCCTCAGCAAGGTAGCTAACCTCTCCAAGTTGCTGAATTATTTTACCAGTTTGTGTTTGGGTAATTGTGTAACACTAAGAAATCAAAATGGTACAATTAATGATTTTGTAGATGTTAATTCACTGATCTTGACTCTGCTCCCGTTACTAATTAATATTTTCTGTTCCGTTTGTCTTATTCTATATAAAACACTTTGTAGCATTCTTCATCTTCAAAGCACTTAAAAACCATTAACTAATCCTAATGACATTCCCATGAGAGAGAAATATTGTCCCCATTTTGCAGATAGAAAATTATATATGGAGTTAACTTTTATTAAGGAAAAAATAATCAGATACCAAAAACCATGTGAAGCAAGTAATGCGAAGGGTCAGACAAACTCAGGAAAGCAAGGACAGTCAGAGATTCCACTCTCCCTATCTGGTCCCATTTTGCCTGAGCATTGCAGTCGGTTATCCAACCTCATCTTAGAGCCCTAAAGTAGCTGAAGGAAAACAATGAGTTAATTAACCCTGAGGCTATGTCTACGCTACTGCGGTAAATCAACCTACGCTATGCAACTCCAGCTACATGAATAACGTAGCTGGAATTGATGTACCTGAGGTGGAGTTACCACGGGGTCTACACCGCGGGAGGTTGACGGGAGAAACTCTCCCGTTGACTTACATTACTCTTCTCGTCAGGTGTAGAGTACAGGGGTCAACTGAAGAGTGATCTGCTGTCAATTTGGCAGGTCTTCACTAGACCCACTAAATCGACCGCTGGTGGATCGATCTCAGAGCGGTGAAGCCTGAGTGTCAACACCTATATTAACTCTTGTTTGTTTGGAGGGGGGATGTTAGTCCATTAATGTCACTTAAATTTGGGTTAATGATTGATTATACTTAGAAGCAAGACCTTTACAAAATTTTTAATGCAGTGATATGTTGTCTTAATAGAAGCAGGATCCTTCTGTCTGCTGTGCTTAGTTTCCAAGTCAAGCGGTTTCATTAAAAACACTGTGTCTTACTCTTTCTGTTCACTGCATGGCATATTACACCACATTTAATCAAAAAGCAGTTCTGTGAACCCATGCTTTTGGGAATTCTGAGAATTTCTAACCTTTGGCAACTGCTGCAAAGTGACCTGACTAGCAACTGCACTGCAAATTATTAAAAGTGTTCATTAAGCCCTGTACAGGGTAAAGTCCAACGGCTACAATACATTGTCTTATAAAACTGTTGTTGGGGATTAAACTGTTTGATTTGGGAGAAGTTTGCTTAGATGGGAACGGTGAAGCAAACTAGCCAACAATTGGTGATTTTATTGGTCCTTTATGATGTGTAAATATTACTACTTTTTTTTTAAACTCATTTTTCACATTAGGACCATCACGTCTTGACTCTCCCTTTTCAGCTGGAGAACTTTAGCAAAGACCTGGAAAGCTGAAATATCTGGAATTACAGCTTGCAGCACAGGCTTATTTGGGAAGTTTAGATTTCAGGATCATGTCTGGAAGAGCTGGAGGGGTCAATTACACTTTTTAGCTTGCAACTTGAGCTGCTTCGCCTAAGACTGATATCAGAAGTTTCAGCCTAGAGCTATGATGTCAACACCCAAAGATTGCTCATGTCCCCTAGCAAAACAGAGTAAAGTCATTCATAATTCTTCTGTAATAAAGGCAGGGATTAAAATACAAACATCTGAGGCCAATATTATATACCCTGAAAGAAGAGCAAAGGAACCAAGCCCTTTTAACAAACAACAGTAAAACTGTCCTAAATTAAGAGGTTTTTAATAACTTGTGATCCCAAATTCATAACAGCACATAGCTAGAGCTTTAAAAATATGCAAATACAAGGGATAGAATGGCATCAGGTATTGGTACTGGGATGTGGGCTAGAGACACTCCATCAGTTTTAATCTGTCCTAGACCTGAAATAAATGAAAATTTAATGCCATTTAATGGCTGCTCAGTGACATGCTATGAGCTGATGCTCTCAGTCCAATTCCTAGAGATCATTTGCTCACAGAGTGGTCTTAACTGGTACCATTAGCAGACTAAACAGAGATCAGTGTGCGACATGCATTGAGCATGAACTACCCTCAAAGGGGTGAGGAAAGACAATTGCAGGGCAGATCAGGTAAAATTAGCCCACATTCTGCTCTGCAAAGAGTTTCAAAGTGATCTCACAAAACTGGGTGACTGGGCAATAAAATGGCAGATGAAATTCAATGTTGATAAATGCAAAGTAGTGCATTGGAAAACACAATCCCAACTATAAATACAAAATGATGGGGTCTAAATTAGCTGTTACCACTCAAGAAAGAGATCTTGGAGTCATTGTGGATTGTTCTCTGAAAACATCTGCTCAATGTGCAGCAGCAGCCAAAAAAGCTAACAAAATGTTAGGAACCATTAGGAAAAAGATATAAATCCATATATAATCCATGGTATGCTCACACCTTGAATATTGTGTGCAGTTCTGGTTACCCCATCTCAAAAAGATACATTAGAATTGGAAAAGGTACAGAGAAGGGCAACAAAAACGATTAGGGGTATGGTACGGCTTCCATATGAGGAGAGATTAAAAAGGTGGGGACTTTTCAGCATGGAAAAGAGTTGACTAAGAGGAGATATGATAGATATCTATGAAATCATGAATGGCATGGAGAAAGTGAATAAGGAAGTGCTATTTACTCCTTCACATAACAAGGACCAGGGTCACCCAATGAAATTAATAGACAGCAGGTTTAAGACAAACAAAAGAAAGTACTTCTTCACACAACACGCAGTCAATCTGTGAAACTCTTTGCCAGAGGATGTTGTGAAGGCCAAAACTATAATAGGGATCAAAAAAGAACTAGATAAATTCCTGGAGGATAGGTCCATCAATGGCGACCCCGTACACTGAGTGTCCCTAGCCTCTGTTTGCCAGAAGCTAGGAGTGGATGACAGGATGGATGACTCCATGAGTGCGTGATCTGTTAATTCCTTCTGAAGCACCTGGCATTGGCCACTGTCGGAAGAAAGGATACTGGGCTAGATGGACAATTGGTCTGACCCAGTATGGCCGTTCTTATGTTCTTGTACTTTTTCTGTGACTAAACAGAGCCAACAGCTGTCAAATCAGCAGTGCTTTTTAAGAGTAGTATGATTTGTAGAGGCTGCAATTGAGATCTCAAGGAGATTGCAATCTACATAGACAAAGGGTGGGAGGGGAAACAGGCACATAGAGGTGATGTGACTTGCCAAAGGTCACACAGTAGGACAGTAGCAGAGACTGGATTAGCCTTCATCTCTCCTGAATCCCAGGCTCTTCTCCCCATCCTATGGATCACACTGCATTTCAAACATTTCCGAAGGAAAAAGTTATCAAACTTTTACGCTGTAAAGCCAAGTAGTCAAAGATCAGGGAAGATAGGGCTGTTTTTCTTATATTTTCTTTTGAAATTAATATATTTGTGATTTGGAATTTCCGCTCACTTATGAGGCAAAACTGTCAGCAAGAGGGTGAGTTTCAGGTCAAAACAATGACTGGTTTAGTGGCTCATTAGATACTATACAGTGACTAAGCTCCGAGTGGAGTTGCTTTCCTCATCGCACCTATTGTACCAGGGCTTTGAACCGGTATTTCCTGTTCCACTCTCTCCAGCCAGAGCTAGTCGCGGGGGTGGCCAGAGGGCGAAGCTGCCAGTAAATGTCTGGAAGAGAAGGCACCGAGTCTGGGGTAAGTTAGCAGATCAGCTCCGGCTGCGGCTCTGTGTTTTGGTGTAAGGTCAGCTGGAAGCCGAGCTCGTGCTGGAAAGTTTGTGAGAGTTTTCAGGCAGGATCCCTGCACTTCGGGGGCGCGTTGCCCAGCCAGGGGAAGGCCAGGAGCTGGGCTAATCAAACGCAGGCGGAGCGTTAACGCCCAGTGCGCAGGACTCGGGCACAAACCTCGGGCAGGCAGGCAGCGCTTCCGTGCACTGGAGCTCCCGGCTCCACCTTCCTTCCCGCTTGCTGGGCAACCAGCGAGGGCAGGGCCGGGCGCGCGTGTCGCCGCCTGGGTATTGGGCGGGGGAGGTGAGACTCGAGCCGCAGGTGCCTGCTGGGCTTTCCGGGGATCGCTCTAAGGGGCTGGGCCCGTTCCCATCCCGGGCCCCCGAGCGGCGCGCTCACCTGCCCTGCGGGAGCCTGCTAGCGCCGCGGCCCCGGATTAAACACCTCCCCCCTCGCTCCTTTTCCCTCTGCCTCCAACAGGAAATAGCCTGACTCAGAAACACACCGCAGCCGCACCCCCTTCCCCAGACGTGAGCGCGGGCAGGGGGCCGGCGAGCGCCCAGCTCCATAAGGTGCGCGGGCTGCTACAGGGTCCGTCTGCTCCGGACACATTTCCCCCGGCTCAGCGCCAGCGCCAGGTATGTCACTTACCTGGGGAGTGGGAGTGGGAGCGGGAGCGGGGCTGAGCCTTTGGACTCCCGTTTGAAGCGGCTTCTCCGCTAAACTTCTGGTTCCAACCCACCCCCCTGAGCTTAGTCCTTAGGCGAAACAACGGGGGGTATTGCGGGACATGGGACCGAAGGATGTAATTCCCACTTACCCACGTGTACGCTAGGCACTTCGCCTGTTTTTTAGCTGGGACTCTTCCAGCGTAGATGACGCTGGGAGCAGGAGTGGGGAAGGAATTGTTCCCGTTTGTTTGTTTCTGTTTTGTTCTGTCAAAACCCCTGTTTTGAATTATTTCCTTGCGCAGAGGTGTGCAAAGCAACCCCCTGACTTTTGGGGAGGCTTGGAACTGAACATCCGGCTCCTGGCGCTGAATGGGGCTGAACAAAACTTCTGTTCCCCAGCCAGTGAGGAAGTTCTGCTCCGGAGCCCGGCTTCCCTAAACTTTGGGCATATCTCTGATCTGGATCGGGAAGTTGTAGCTCACCCTCATCTCTGCTTTCCTGCCCTTTTGTGTACGTGCGTGAGCCTTGGTTGAGAGAAGCCTGGATTGGGTGTGTGTGGCTGGCTGCACATTGTACTTTGTTTAGCCTCATGTTAAATTGGAGGCAAGCCTCGGCAGGCTGCCTGCCCCTGGCGTCAGGAGGGAGGGGCTCTTCTTCCTGGCTCATACTACCAACCTCTCCTCTAGGGAGTGTGAATAGCGAGAATCTGATTTACAGATGATCTTTTCTTTAACAGGATTACGGGCCTATATGTTTCTGTTCCCACATTAAGTACTTTCAGGGAGACTATGATAGTAGGTGGGAAGAGCTGTCACTGAGGAATCAGATAGGCTTTATTAGTTTTCTTTCTTTGAGGGTGGGAGAGAAGCACACACCAAAATAATAGGGATTTAGAATGTCTTTGCAATACAAAGAATTCCCAAGATCTTTATGTTGGCACATCCTCACTGAATTCCAGCTATACTTCAAACTTCTGGATCGGGGACATTTCCGAGTGTCAAGGTATCTTAAAACAAGGTGTGGCAATTCAGGAGTTCAGAAATACTTTTACAACTTTTCTGTTTCTTCAGTCAGACCTATTAAGTCCTCATTTCCCCTTTATATTTCTTACTAGGTTTAAAATATTTGCTAATCTTAAACACAAGCATAATATTACCAATATTGCTAATAATAGTATTAGATGAAGTTTCAGACAAGATTTAAAAACAGAGATTGTGACAAGGGCTAAGGTAGTATTTGAAACCTCTAAACCCCAAGGTTGGGCCCCCATAGAAGCCACCGCACGTCTACTTTGATTAAACTCTGGATGTGACTGAGCATGGGTACAAGGAGCCCATTGAGATTAACTAGAACAGTGTTTCCCAAACTAGGGTTCACGAAATGTTACAGGGGGTTCTCGGGGAAAAATTCCCTAATGGCAGACAGAGCTGTCCCTAGGGACCCTGGGCAGCATGGGAGACTGAGGAGACTTAACCTTCAAGACTCCTTATAAGAAATGGAAAGGGAGGTGGATATTTTTTGCTGTTTTTAAAATTAAATAGGCAGCTAGTATTATTTTTAAAATTATTATGAAGAACAAATTTAAGCTTTGTTGTAACGTGCGTTGTTTGCCTGGACTGCTCAAGACCTGAATGCTTGTGTAGGAGGAACTCTGAGTTGGCTTCTTAAATACCTTCATGCTGTTTCACATCTGATACTCCTTGATGAAACATAGGAGCCTTGTCTTATAACAGGCTTATTCAAAGTGATACAAGCTACAAAAGTGAGATCTTGGAAGAGTGTTGCCATTTTCATAATGCAATAAAAATACTGTAATGATAAATAATAATTAATAATACATAGTGTGTAATAAACATGTCACAAAAACAAATTTTATATTTCCAAGATCACTGCTTTTATAATTTATACTCAGGTACAGGAGAAAATCCCTGGAAATATTCATTTTTAAGAGGGGGTTCACGAGACTTGACATTTTAGTGAAAGGGGTTCACAGGTTGTTAAAGTTTGGGAACCACTGAACTAGAATGTATTGGTGCAGTGCCTTGTACAGTGGACTTTCATTTTAATGAGCATCACTTATGGTTCGAGAGACAAGGTGGGTGAGGTAATATCTTATATTGAACCAACTTCTGTCGGTGAGAGAGACAAGCTCTTGAGCTCAGGGCAAGTCTACACTACAAAATTAAGTCAACCTAAATTATGTCGACTATGCCATGGTAGTAACTGAATAGTTTTTTACACATCCACACTATGCTCCTATGCTCCTTGCATTGGCGGTGTGCATCTTCACCAGGAGTCCTTGCACCAATTTAATTGCCAGTGTGAGAAATTGTGGGACGGTTTCTGAAAGGTAGCAAGTCGATGTAAGCAACCCAGTGTCTACACTGACACTGCGTCGACTTAAGCGTTATGCCTCTCATGGAGGTGGAGTATTTAAGGGCTTGTCTACACTACAAAATTAAGTCAGCTGTAGGCAGGGGGCTCACACCTGCCCCCCCCAGCTATCAGGTGGGTGCTGGCTCACAGCTAGGGGCCCAGACAGCACAAGCTGTCAGCCCAGTGTGGAGCTCACAGATGGAGCCTCCTAGCTTTGGGGCTGAGGGCCAAGAGCGGGAGACAAAATGTGAAATAATAGCCCTGAAAATGACAAGAATGTCAATTTCACTGCTGGTAGGCTACCTGCTGTGAAATTGAACCCTGCTATCAGCCCCAAAGTGGTGGTAGTGGTGGCTTCTGCTGTTAGCCCTGCTGCCAGGACTGAGAGCTGGGAGCTCCACCGGTGCCTTCTGGTGAGGGATTGGAGGGGGAGGAGTAGAGCTCTAGCCCAAGCTGCAGGCGGGCTCTGTAGTATAGATCAAGCCTTACTCGGTGTAGTAGGCGAGTTATGTTGGTGGGAGCTACATTTTAGTGTAGACACTTACAGGGATAGGTTGACGTAAGCTGCCTTACGGTGCCCTAACTCTATAGTGTAGACCAGGTTACACAGAGCTCTTCTTCAGGTCACTTATGTTGTCATTTGGCTATGGATCAAAAATAACTATTCAAAAGCCATTTCTAATTGGTGTTGATGTGTTGCTAATTGGTGCTTGTGGTTATTTAGTGTTGGGCATGACACAAAAATAATAACCATGCCTAGCTCTTATTTAGTGCTTTTCATTAATACACTTTAGTTCCTTTTCTGAAGAGTTTACACTCCAAAGCCCCAATCTGCAACAGCTTGCAATATTGGGGTGACAAGAGACAAAGACAAAATGCACTGTTGCAGAGGTGGGGATGATTTAATAGCCTTTTCTGTTTTGTTTAACTTTAACAAATTTGTTCTAATGGGGCCTGCAGTTGTAAGGATGAGAAGGGAAGTAATTATTTTCAAAAATGGGAAAGAAGTTCATACTTTTTGGTAATTATGTGATTGCAGATAAAGAATGCTACAGCCTGGTTGCTGGTCAGAGCTACTTATAAACCTGACCCACCTGTCTCTACCTCACAATGCTTGCTAAAATTGGTCACATCCTTGTAAGGAGGTTTTTCTTCTGTGAATGTATCTGTTTTTAGTAAGCTCACTGCCTGAGTGATTTGGATATAATCATCTAAGTGGGGGTTGCCAAACTGCCTGTTATAACATGTCACTGTATAGTATATTCAACACAGTGGGCCATATTCTGTCTGTTTGACACCCCGGATAGCCCTGCTAATCCAAGAACTGTTAAATCTAGAATTTGTGCTTAGTACAGGTGTGAAATTAGAGGGCTGTGTGTGTAATATATCTTGAGAGCCTAGCATGGGTGAAAACTGACCATAATATTGTGCACAAAATGCAATCTCTACAGAGCTCCTTCACATAGCCTTTTAAGTTTAAAATAAGCCATCACAGTAATTGTCTCCCATATCTTTGCTTAATCTCACCCTTCCCTAGTTCAGTGTCTCATAAGGAGAAGCAGGAGAGAGTTCTTTGATTTTAAAATAGCATGTAGCTGCTGACACTGTTCACAGAGTTGAACTGGGTTTTGTTTTGTTTGTTCGTTTTTTTAAAGAGTATGTGTCAACAGCATCAGAAAAAAGAATTGGACAATAGCCATCCTGAATGATGAGAAATTGAATAATATCCAAATCTTCATTTAGTTCTATTTTAAATACAAAATTGGCAAAATGTTTGGCACCAGTAGCTTTCATTAACAGCCAGACAGCTCTAAAAGCGCATGACAGAAATATTTCGATCCGAATATAGAAAGAGATTATTCTTTGGGGGTGGGGGAGTCACTTTTATATGAATGGTTCAGAACAGAATATTCTGTTACAAATGTGAAATTTTCCCATTTGTGTGGAGTTGTCTTGTGTTTTGTTCTGGATTGAATAGAAGAGAGATCTTTAATACAGTATTTTTAAGTCTTTTTTGATCATTTAAGCAGCAGAACTCAGCATTTCCATTCTAAGCACCATAACCAATTCAATTTTTAGTAGCCTCTATCTACATCCAATTAATCCCTTTTTAACCATCTGTGAGTATTTTATCAGTCATTCCAATTTAAAAAAAAAAAAAAAAAGGTGCACAATTATGGAGAAACAGCTACAGTGTATTGGGCTTGGAATATATATTTTTTCTTGACACATTCATATTGTTTTAAACAGACATGAAAGTATCAAGTTTAGTTGAGACAGAGTAAATCTAGTCATTCTGACATGGTTATCTTTCATATCAGATAATTGTGTAAAGTCTGAGTTTTAATCCCAACATGCACTAGACTTCAGCGAGCCTTTGATGGCTTTTCCAAGACAGTCCAACCAAGCCACCAGTAAAACAAATGCACACAACAACAGGCATACAAGGGCATGTTTTAACATGATGTGTGGTGAATTAGGCCTTGTCTATATTAACAGAACTAGCATCCATGTAACTACTAAATTAATCTACTCCAGATAGCTTTGGAGGGTTCTGTTCAAATCTGAACATGACTTGTTCTGAAAACATT